GCAACGAGAAAGAATAATCTAGTTTTAATCAAGAAGGGATTCGCATCGCTGAAGTTTCTCGGAAATAAATTATACCGGAAATTAACAAACAAGCAGATGCGCAACAACGTTTTTACATAAACTCCTAACTTCAAATACAACGTTTCTATATAAACTGCGAGACTACGCATAACATTACTGATTTTATTGATGACGTAGTTCTTAAAAACAAGCCCCCCAGTGGCACAGCGGTATGTCTGCGGACTTACAACGCTAGAATCCGGGTTTCGATACCCGTGGTGGGCAGAGCACAGATAGCCCATTGTGTAGCTTTGTGCTTAATTACAAACAAACAAATCTTAAAAACTATATTTAAATCTTTATAATAAACTGACCACACATACAAGTGTTATTATGGTTGTTGATTTAGTGCAAAGCTGACCGCTGACACCAGGAGGTCCATAACTCTGTCAAGTGGTCTGGACAATTAACAAAAAAATCTAAGTACTTTTACTTATACCAAGTTTAATGCATTATAGTCCTGTAATTTTGAAAAATATGCACACAAACACAATTTTGAGCACTTCTCGGAAGATTGAGATCATTGAATGTGAGGTAACTGAGACACTGAGGAAAAGTTTCATAATGCATTACTCAGAATGTACTTCTGTACACCAATTCTTCAGTATTAGTGTATTTTGTAAAAGTAACAAGCTTCTTTATCACTTTTTTAACTGTCCCAGCCCTTTGTATCCCTCACCACGTGGCTTAGCGGTAAGCTTGTGGACTTAAAATACTAAATATTGGAATTCGATACACGCTGTGAGCACATCGTATGACTTTACACTTACAAACACACCTCAAATATAGTTTAGATCCGTTATTATGGATACACGTTTAAACATTTTCATGTCCGCTCTTCAGTCCAATGTTTGATGAAACTTGTATCCATATAAATTTAGTGTTGTTCTGTAATAGTGGATCAAAACTTTATTTTATGTTTCTTTACACGGTTTTGTGTATTTACCAACTACAAAAACAAATGTAGCCCTCTGTTGGGGAAGCGTAAAAATAATAGTCATGTGGTTAAGTAGTCCAATCATCGAATAGATATTTCTGAGTCCCGCGTTTAAACAAACTAGGTGAACGCTCGTGCTTGTAACTGGAATTTGGAAATAAATGCTACTTACGATACAAGTTTTTAACAGTAACATACCTTATTGTAAAAAGTAACAATAAAATAGGATTGATCAAGAACTATGTCTCGAAAAAATATTTATTATTCTGATAAATATTATGATGACAAATACGAATACAGGTAATGTGACGTTGTGATATAAATTCTAAACTATAAAATTTAATCTATAATTATAAATAAGCCCAAGTTAAGTAATACTAATATTATTAGTAATAACCCAAAGGTCACAATGTTGTTTTATTTTTAAAGTACTTTAACTTTTTAAGTTTTACTTAATATGCTGTTATAACACTGACGCTTAGTAACAGTGACACTGGAGTAAGCTTAGGTTTAACTTTTAAGTCTTACGCTTGAGGTTAGGCTTAATGTCAACGTTAGTCTTGTTGCCATAAGAATTTAAAACTGCTTGTTAATCAACTTAATGTTAGTTAAATGTTACTATCAGAGTTAAATTAGTGTCAGCTTTGTGATTAAACTTAAAATTAACTACAGCTTACAAGTTACGCTTGAAATCAAACATTTTACATAACAACTTCCTTGGTGCCTATTAATATTATTACTATTAGTATTACTAATAGTAATATAGTATTAACATTACTAACAATAATATTGATAATATGATTTAACTTTCATCTTTAGGCTAAAGACGTTTATGACTGGTACTAATAATGATAGGATTGTGTTTGGTGTCTTAGTGTTTGTAATTTGTAAACTAAAATGTAAGTTGTGGTCACTAAATTTAATTTTAGTTGAGTTTGTAAAGGTTAAAACCATTTTAAAATTTCTTATTGGTCTTAGTTTATCTAAAAATATAAACATTCTTTTTTGTGTTGTCTATTAGAATTGATAATGTATGTTATTCAGCCCAGTGCCTCATTAAACTTAAAAGTATTTTAAACCTAAATAAAAAATATTTTAATGTATACCTAAGAATTGTAAAATTAGTGGCATAGACTTTAGGTATCAGTTGCACCCTGTAGTTTTACATAGGATATATTTAGGTTACATAGAAAAAAACTAGTAGTTAACTTGGTTGATATAAACATAAGATATAGTGACCATGGTTTTTAAGGTGTTTTAAATAATAGGTGTCCTATGCCTGATATTTAATTCAAATATTACAAAGGGCTCTAAAGTAAAATACAAATTTTTATACTTGTATTATAAACCAACTTAACTAATTGTATAGTATGAGTTAAAAATGCAGTAAATTATCATGAAACTTCATGTATCATTGCAGTAATAAGTAGGACATATCTCATTGCTTAAGTTTCACATATCGTAATAGACATGTTCTGATTTCTCTTTATTATAATCTTTCAGTGATAAGTCAAAATATTTGTATTTTTTGTTAGTATTAATAATTTATCTTGTAATTATATAGTGAAGTAGAAGCAAATTATTGATAATTTGTGCTCAAAAGTAAGTATTCTATATAGAACAGAACCCAGAAAATTAATTCTAAATTAATGAAGTCAGTACTATATAATAAAGTACATGATGTCATAAACCAATACATCTTAAACATCTGTACTGATAACAATGTGTTGAGTCATTAGTTGGTAGGTAAAACACTAAACATCTGTACTGATCACAATGTGTTGAGTCATTAGTTGGTAGGTAAAACACTAAACATCTGTACTGATAACAATGTACTGAGTCATTAGTTGGTAGGTAAAACACTAAACATCTGTACTGATAACAATGTATTGAGTCATTAGTTGGTAGGTAAAACACTAAACATCTGTACTGATAACAATGTTCTGAAGTTTTTGGTAAAACTTTACAGTAATTATTACTTGGAGGCTAACCCTAGATGTGAACTTCAGCTGACATGTATAAAACCAAAAGTATTCTTGAATAAATGTTGCTCTGTTGCATATATTTTTCTTGGTTAGTAATATGTGTGTTGTTTTCTCATAACGGTAAAAGATTTATTTAATTTTTACTGTGACGTACAGTTAGCTTATGCCATTGTCGTCAGTTCATTATTAAACAAGTCCTAGAAATTAAGCTAAATTGTTTCCTACTTTGCAGACATGTGATGCTTCCAAAGGACATAGCCAAACTTGTTCCAAAAACTCGCTTAATGTCTGAGACTGAATGGAGAAGTCTGGGTGTTCAACAGAGTCAAGGGTGGATTCACTATATGATGCATGAACCAGGTTATTGTTAAATTAAAAGTAGACATTTCTTGTGAAAGGTGTCTTTCTGGATTTATCATTAAATTGGTGAAAATTTTAGAAATAAAGAAAAAAACAGGTTGTTAAATGTTTTTATATAAGTACAATATTCTTATTTAAATAAAAAATTAACACTACAATTATAACCTAGCAGGAAGTTTTGAGTTTATAAAAGAACTGTTTAACAGGGAAGGGGGGGATGTTGTTGAGGTGATGCGTAGTGGTAGTTACTGAAGATGCTATTTGAAGTTAAGCTAGATTATATTTGTTGAGGCAGATTGGAAGAATTATTAGCTAGACAAGGTTTATTACAATGTTAAAACATTGGGAAAGTCTAGCAAAAGCTGATGGGATTTTTTAACTTGTTTTCCAAAAGTTTCTTGGCACTGGAAAAGTTCCTAATGTCTGGAAGATGATCCTTGATTTATAAAGGAGGAGGATCTTGGATAGTACAGGCCTCTTTCTTTTTGTGAAGTTTCCAAATCTGTAAGCAGCTGTGGTTACTAGGGTATACCTACAGTGAGGATGTCAAATGTGCTTGAAAGAGAGCAGTGACTGGTTACTAGGATACACCTATAGTGAGGATGTCAAATGTGCTGGAAAGAGGGCAGTATCACTGAAACATTTTGGATACAGACGTGGACAAACTTGTTACTGGTGTCCCAGTATCACTGGAACATTTTGGATACAGACCTGGACAAAATTGTTACTGGTGTCCCAGCATCACTGGAACATTTTGGATACAGACTTGGACAAACTTGTTACTGGTGTCCCAGTATCACTGAAACATCTTGGATACAGACGTAGACAAACTTGCTGCTGGTGTCCCAGTATCACTGGAACATTTTGGATACAGACCTGGACAAATTTGTTACTGGTGTCCCAGTATCACTGGAACATCTTGGATACAGACCTGGACAAACTTGTTACTGGTGTCCCAGTATCACTGGAACATTTTGGATACAGACTTGGACAAACTTGTTACTGGTGTCCCAGCATCACTGGAACATTTTAGATACAGACGTGGACAAACTTGTTACTGGTGTCCCAGTGTCACTGAAACATTTTAGATACAGACGTGGACAAACTTGCTGCTGGTGTCCCAGTACCACTGAAACATCTTGGATACAGACCTGGACAAACTTGTTACTGGTGTCCCAGTATCACTGGAACGTTTTGGATACAGACGTGGACAAACTTGCTGCTGGTGTCCCAGTACCACTGAAACATCTTGGATACAGACCTGGACAAACTTGTTACTGGTGTCCCAGTATCACTGAAACATTTTGGATACAGACCTGGACAAACTTGTTACTGGTGTCCCAGTATCACTGAAACATTTTGGATACAGACCTGGACAAACTTGTTACTGGTG